GTCAACTGGGACCTCACCCGTTAGCCAGGACTGCTGATAGATGATGGAGAGTGGCTTGGTGAGCACCTCAGGCAGCTCCCTCAGTACCCTTGGGTGGATCCCATCTGGCCCCATAGACTTGTTGGGTGCATGTTAAATCTGTAAGGGTCTTCAACAGCACAGGCCCAAATGCAGCATGGTGCTGCACCTAAACTTCTGCTACCAGTATTTAGACACTAGATGATAACTGATCAAAACCACACTAACTTCATGAAGATACTTGACAATGCCTACTTTAGCATTAGAATTATCCAGTGCATTGAGCTTCAGTCGCTTATTAAAACTTTACACCTTTTCCAAGATGATTGGTTGCTACAGTTCGCAAAATTTAATTACATCCTTAAGATGACAAGGGCAATACTAATGCATGCCTTATGAACTAATTAAATTTTTCTGGCTATTTTTCAAGGTTAAATATGTCACGTGATTTTTTTTTTTTAATGGAAGGGCAGTCTAAAAATTAAAATGACTAGTAGAAATGTCTAGTTTAAGGAATGAGGATACTGTTCTGGAATGGCCCAACAGAAAGTTTAGTAAGATTGATTCATGAATGAATTCATTTATGAAATTAATTTTATGGGATTGATTTATGAAATTTTATATCCAAATTTATATTTTACTTAGCAGAAAAATTTGTCTCAGAGTACAGTATTTCAGAATATTCCTATCAAGTCTTAACTGTTAGTTTAAAAGCAGAGATACTGAGACAGAGATGCTAACGCCCTCTATCAACCTTGTCCTATCAATCTACCACAGAAACAAAGAACAGCTTAACTTGAACTCAGGCACACATGCAGTCTTTTTTAGTCTTAGATCAGTCCTAATTAGAAGCAATTGTTTTAACTGCCAGCATAAACAAATAATGTAACAGTTGTTCTTCCTATACAAACCCAATTTCTTGCAAACAGACATAAGACTCACACAACACAGGATTTCAGAAGTGGAAGTAACAAACTTTATGACTACTTTTATTTCCTTTCTGCTCAGTTTTTCTCCCTAACAATCCTTTACCATTTGGTGCATGGAGTTCTCATCCTCTGCTATTCCCTACCAGTTCAATAATAAGATTCAGGAAATTAAAAATAATATGGAGAACTACAGAGCAGTCTGGTTTTTTCCCCAGTAGATCAGAGAATGATGACTGGCAAGGTGACTACTCCCAACCTGTTAGGAGTTTACTGGCAGGGCAGATAATAGTTACAACATGCAGCTCTACAGCTTGAAAGGCCAGCCAGAATGACCTTTCCTCACAATATAGGAAAGAAGAATTTTCAGTCATGAGTGCAGTCAGTCTCATTTCTACTGCCAAGCAGTAGTAATACCCCAGACAGCGGGGAGAGTTGATCAGTGTCCTACCACCTAGGGAAAGGAGACTGACAGATGCAATTTTATGTTCAAAGTGCTGCCTCATGCTCTGAAATGAACACTACACATGACATAGTACAGCAATTTGAAACAGTATTCCCAAAGCCAGCATGTCTCAGTGATACAAAAACAGGGAAATTCAGGAAAAAAGGCACGCAAATTACATATTTGTTTTAAATGAACAATCTCTGTAATCATACATAACTTATTCAAGCAATATATCTGTATGAACTGAAGTGGAAGGCTGACATTCACATACGATTATGCGTAGCGTTAAGTACCTTATAACTGTGAGTGACATGGTTGATTTCATTAGGCCATTTGTAGTATAAGATAACAGCCAACATGATTACAGATATGGCTTATGAGCCAGGCCAATTAGATAACTGCTACATTTATAGCTTAAAATAAAATCACATTTTGGAATCTGCTTATCCATACAGCCAAATGTTCTTCCCAATAAAATGCCAAGGAAAAGATCATAGTGGTATATGGAAAACTAAGACAGAAGGAATTATAGTACCTTTGTATTGCCAACTCACTGACCTTGTTAGATCTTATAAAGATGATGGGTGCCCTCATGAATGTCCTACAGCTTCTTTGGTTATTCTCTGGGCCTCTGATACACACCATATTTAACCATACACAAAACATACTTCCAGATTAAGACCTAAAAATGTCCTTTTTAGGATCTGTTTTTCATACCAGTCTTAACGGACTTACTATGCCTAAGAAAAATGCCTATGTTCAGAAGACAGCACACTTCCAAAGCCTGGTACTTTAACTAGCGAAAAGGCTATCTTTTTTTTTTTTTTTATTAATTACAATGGAAAGCTTTGTAGTTGAGCCCCATTACTGTGGAGGCAGATAATGAACTCCCTTGGCCAATTTACAGGGTAGAGGTATGGCAGTCTTCCCATTGCAATAAGTATGTTTATGGTGATTAATCAAGTAGAAGTCTGAAAAACAAGGATAATTTGGTATTTTCTTCCTTTACTGAACGACAACCCATAATATTGTCCTGCACAGCCTGCTAATTTTTTAGATTATCAGAGCCAAAAAAACATCAACAAAGTAAACTTTCAGCTACACAAGTGGTCATGCTGGTGTTCAAGTCAGATTCTGGTCTACTCTGTGCAACTACGCTATAAGGATGCTATTATATTTTGTGCCACCTTTTAGATCACTGTTCATAATGCAGGTTCCCTCAAGTCTTCTTTAGCCCAAATTTTATGGAGAGGTGGGAATTATGATCCACTCCACCTCACCTTGCAGACTCCAAAGCTGTATCTTGATATCTGGCCCTTATATACTATGCCTGATATAGCTCTGTCACTCTTCCAATTCTAGTTCAGCTGTGAAATCAAGAAGGTGCTTCCCCTTACACAGACTAGATAGGTAACATGATGTTAGTCAACAGTCATCTGTCATTCTTGTATATTTCCCAAATCATGATTCATAATCAAGATAGCACAGGTCAAAAAGTCAATTTCCCATTTCAAATAGGTCTGTGCTGTTGAGAACTGTCATTTGTCAAAGCATACTCTCAGTCCAATTACTTACAGTGAAATGATTATATTCTGAAATTCCTGTACCAGGTGGTGACTAACGAAGAGTTCAAACAAGGGTAATGGAAGAGAGCACATAATTTTGGAGAACATAAATAGTGTCCTTACAGATAATATCATTCATCTGACTCAGCATAATTCTATTGTTTTTTAACTACAGTAACTCATTGCTGTTCAAACCTGTAAAATACAAACAGCAGTCTGCTAAAGTGTCATTTAATATTTCTATCAGTTCTTATTCACTGTTTCATTTTCAAAAACAGAGCAGATCTTCCTTTATGTAACATGGAAATATAGAGTACTTTAAATTTTGAATTAGTTATATAATGTTGTTGCTAAGCACTTCATTAAAAAACAGAAAAAGGTTGGTAAATAGATTACTGCAAAAGGCTGGGCTTAAAGAAATTCGATTTCCAATTTGGCTTTTTGCAATCTTCTCATATTTATCTAGGAAATTATTTAAACCTCTGCTTTGTTTTCCCTTCTACAGCAATTTTTTAATCAATCTTTATTCTGATATCAAGCTCTTATGGTAGCTAATGAAAGACTATAATCATGCTGTGATAAGTAAACAGAGTAGCGCATTCTTGAAAATATAAACCTATACCTTCTATAACATTACACTTACACCAAAGACTATGTAAAGGATTATTTGATCATTTACCTGGTCTTGAGGAAGGTACTCTTGCTATCTCTAGGGAACAAGGTTTTTTGGTCACTGCTATGTCTATCGAATCACAAAGACTGCTGTCATTTTCTGAAGGAACTGCATCCAGAGGTACTGAGGGTATTGCTTCCAATGCATAAACTCTCTTCTTTGAATAAGATTCCTGAAATGCAAAAATTTAAGTAGGTAAGAGAGATACTTCTCAGATGACTCAGGAAAAGAGCCAGGTTCAATAACTCTGGCTAGCAGGGTTTAAAATTCAGCAAATTAAACAACACATTCTGCTGAAATCCAAATTGTAACAGACTGAAAGAATTACTTGCATGCTAGAAGATAACATTTCTTGTTTCTTTAAATTGTTGTGTAATATAGTTCTTGTTTAGTTACAGAAATGTCTTTATTCATTGAACTTTGTATTTAGCAAACGTTCCAACATAACTGGTCTTGCCACACCTGCTTTGCAACAGTTAGACCAGCACAAGACCACGACAAGCACATTGTAGTACTTCTCCTTCTACAACCCTTTGAGGGTCCCACACTTCATAAGCAGAAGGTGCTGACTTTGTTTTGCATGTCCACCGATCAAACTTTCTAAAATTACCATCCCAAATTGCCTTTAGAGCATGTCACTTTTTACAGTTTGCATGCACCCCATTTTGGATTTAGCCATCTCACCAAGTTTGACATCCCTAATTCTTGTACTTTAGAAGTCAAGGAATGGTTGTTCTTTACTTATCCTCTCCTTGTGATTTCACAGACCTCTGTCACACTTCCCTTGCCCTCTCCCTTACAGAGAGAGAGACATTCTAATCTACTCACCCAGCTGTTCCAGGCTTTTGACCATCCCTGTCACCCCTCACCCTCTCAGTCTTCAGTGATGTGACAGGGATCAGATTTTCAAAATGGCATTCAAGATGAGGGCTCACCAAGTATTCATACTGACATAATGATGTTCCTTCTTTTGTACTCTACTCATTTCCTAATTGCTCTTAACATTCAATTTGATTTTCTGAATGTTATTCAACGTTCTGTAATTATCATTGCAAGAATATAAATATCAGGGAAGAATAAATAAAAATGATAGGGTTACTGAGAAAATGGTTGGAATGTAAATTACTGACAAGTAAATTCTTCATAAATCTCTCCCTAATAAAGCAAATATGATAGTAGCATGCCAAGCAGAACTTAAATAAGTTAGAGTCAAAAAAGAATTGTTAATACTTTAAAAAGTCTGGAATTCTATCAACTGATTAAGTGAAGACGATAAGCCTTAATTAAAAAGTGCATATGTAGCAAAAAAAAGACAAACTTCTCATTGCCGGAGAAAAACAATGTAAAGTCTTCTGGTTGCTGCAATGTGTTCTCCATTTTGCAGGTACTGAGCATATTCTAGAAATTTCTAAGCTCTACACTAATTCAAGTATCAGGCATTGAGCAATGTGATTCTGGTTTTTTTTCTAAGACTAAAAGCTCTTCTGCATTCTTCTCAATAATATCAGTTCTGTTGTCTCACCTCACCCACTGCAATGAGCAGTAACTCTACAGTAATCCTACATGTCCTAGATATTTTCATCTGCATAATAAAACCTTCTGAAGAAATACTCTTCCATTATAGTTGAATAATCTTTAGTCCTGAAATCAAAGGAATTTTAGTTTATTTTCTTTAAATTAGAGATTATTCAATCTCGAATTTCTGTAAACTAATCCAAAAAGTTGAAGATGACACATGTAACTGACCACTACTATCAAGTCAGAATTAGTTTTCATTTGAAATTACAATTTCATAAAAGTAATGTGCTGGGCTGCCAGTACATTAAAATAAGTGTTTTTGTGGAAAGGATAAAAATACATACACAATAGAAGTGAGAGAAAAAGAGAAGAGTGAGAGTGGGTGAGTCACTGGGAAAGCATTAGAGAACAGTTGCCCATACTGTTAAAATATAAATTAGATTTTTGCCTCATAGAAAGAAACAGCAATGCGAGATTGAAGTTGCAGAGCACATGCCAGGCACACACCATGGCCCTTACTCAGAGGCCTCCAGCCAGCTGGGTCTCTTCTGAGCATGTGCTTGATGGTAGTACCTATCATATGTAACCTGAAACCTAAACAGGACTAGAAAATAGAAAGTGGGGGGGGGGGGGGGGGGGGGGGGGGAGGGGAGGATGTGATTGTTGATCAGTGGGAATGAATTTGCTTCTAAAATAGCTATATGGCAATTGCAAATGGTTACATACAAGCATGAAACAATATTCCATAACATGACTAAATCTTCAGTAACTACATAATGTTGAGTTAGGCCTTTTTGCTGTGTTTCTGCCAAGCTTCTAGGTACTCTGCCTTCTAGATACTCTTGCATTCCTTATAAGGATCAATCTGAATGATGTATACTCAGGGACTGAGATATAAGTAGTATATACAAATTTGTGTTTGTATGACATAAGAATAAAATGATAGAAGCTCAGTAGGCATCTAATCTGAACTGACATTCTGACAAGAAGATAGATTTTTGTATTTAACTGAAAATTTTTCATATCATCCATCTCCTTTCTTATATAAATCAGGTCAGCTGAAGTTTTATTACTTCCCTGGAACATGGGACAACACATCAGACATAAGTGCCAGATGAGGAACATCCAAAAAACTGTTCTTTACAGATGTATTGTTACATCTTATTCATCACCATGATAATTGATGTAGGTATGCTGTGTCTCACCAGGCAATTATTAATTTATTTATAACTTATAAATTCTAAATTTATTAACAGTTGCCTTGACCTCCTGGAGTCTAGGCTAGTCACAGTTGAAGGCCACACCGTATCCTGTTATTTGAAAACTTACTAGATCTGTATTTGCTTAAGTCTCTCTTTTGATATATGACTTCCTTCTCATTAAACACTGACTGTCCTCACAATTTATGTAAGACACCTAATAAGAATCACAACCGTTAGAAAAAACAGTTATTTTAGCCCTAAGGCACTTTTTTAGAAAGTCTGGGGAGCAAGAATGCCCTTATGCGTATTTATACTTGAAAACATAAGTTAAGGACACTGGTTTAGAAAGAGAATGATTGGGGGGAGTTTCAATGGTCTTAAATTATATTTTCAGATAATTCAGACTTTTAAAGAAAACTTTATGGCTATAATTATTGATTATCTGCAAACAAGAAGTGGAAGTAAGATATCCAGGGTTTCCTTTCTTCTGAATAATAAACTTTAAAGAAGAAATATTCTCATAAATGTAGAAAGGAAGAATGCAATATATCTGCCATCTTTAGAAAATTTCTGTTTCATTTATATAGATAATGAAGTAATGCTATTACATTCTGACATACCCCTTGAAATCCACCAGGGTGTCATATCTTCTCCCCTGGCTTGCTGCATGCCAGAGGACCAGCATGAAGAATCCAAGTGGCTCTTCTTCCACCACAGTGCAATAAATCCTGCCTATTTGTTCTTTAGGAGAGTACTATGATACCTCTATTAATAAAACTTTGGAGAGTTATTGATCCCAAACCCTCTGTCAACCCAAAGCTGATGAATACCATGAGAGTGAGCAATGACTAGTGCATTTATCCCATTTATGTCATAGAATCATAGAATTATAGAATCGTTTGGGTTGGAAGGGACCTTTAAAGGTCATCTAGTCCAACCGCCCTGCAATGATCAGGGACATCTTCATCTACATCAGGTTACTCAGAGCCCCGTCCAACCTGACCTGAACGGTTCCAGGAATGGGGCATCTACCACCTCTCTGGGCAACCTGTTCCAGTGTAAACGACCCTTATTGTAAAAAATGTCTTCCTTATATCTAGTCTGAATGTGTTTGCATCAAAGATACTACTTGATGTTTGTAAACAGACTAACGTATAACATCGTTAGATTGGGACACTTTACACTGAAATATTCATGATAAGTAATGAAAGGTTGCTGAGAGGAATCAAGAATTCAAGCAAGAAAAGTCCTGACCAGTGAAGATAATTAGGTTAGTTTTTCAAAATGCAGCAAGGTGGTGGGGAGAATGCCCGGACCTGAAGGGTGTTGTGTGAGTTTGTCACAATAATGTACTGACCAAAAACAACTGAAAGTGTTTCCTATGTCATCATAACCCCAAAACACAATTAGATGGAGAAATATTTATTTTGACTGCCTCTCCATTGAAAGAAATCAGGAATATTACTATAATTTTATGGCTAATAAAAACACTTTTATCTATTACTAATAATTTAACGGAAGTAATTTTTATAGTATGGTGTAATTAGAATCTTTTTTCATGAGTCAAACTATGATAAATGTTCATTGTTATGACAGCTAGAAACACTTGAATATGTAATTTGTCATAGAACAGATAATAAGGTTCACTTCATCATATATTACAGAATCTGGAAAATCCTCAGTAATCTCATTTAAGGGTAATGACACTGGAGGATCTACTCTAGTCTGCACAAAGTATTTATAATATAGATTTTAAAAGGGTATTCTCTTTTACCCTCTCACCAAGCATCTGAAACAGTGGGTTTGCTGTTGTAGGAATAACACGTACAAAGTTATCTGAAATAATTATTTCCCTCCAGCACCTGAAACAGCCTTTGTGAGTAAGTTTCAGTAAGCCTTCCACAGAGCTGAGAAAAATGTTCATTTTAAAAAACATGCTAGATTTGTTGTCCCGTATATTTATATTGTTAGAAATGTAAAGATGAGTATTTTTTCAGAAACCATTCAAAAAAGTTAGATCTGCTTTTTCAAACTTTGTGTTTGAGGAAAAATGAGCATTATTTACATAGCACCCCAAATGTAGGTTTAAATGTTAGGTCCTTTTCAAATGCATATTTTCACATATCTTGTTTAGAATCTAAAATATCATATGAAAACCCTACAGATGTCAGTCCCTGAAAGCTAAAGGTTCTACAAAGCTTTACAATTCAAAACTGACTAATGTAGCCTAAACTATAAATGTCTGAAAATATGGGTAAATTGTGAGCATAATGAATGCAGTGTTAACCTCAGCAGCAGAAACATATTACTGCATTTTATGCAGAGTTTTCATAATTCTATCTGGCAGATATTCAGAATTTCAAATGAAGTTAGATTGTTGTAGTCATGTTACATGCTTTCCCATGCATACAACATTCAGGCCATGAAAAAGAGCAGATGCTTCCTCTAATAA